TCTAAAGATTTTTAAGATATAACAAAAAGAAATGATTTCTCTTAAAAAAATTCATGAAAAGAGGAAACCCTAAAACACTTTTTTTCAATAAAAAATATCAAAGTTAAAATAAATAGTAAAATAAATTAAAAAAAGCTATATTAACCCTTTCAGTAGAATAAAGGAAAGAACCCTGAACTAAGAAAAGAATCAGTGAGACCATGTCTGGCAAGATGACTGCTGCTAAATCCGCTGCTAGGGCACAAGTTTCAACTGAAGTTGTTGTTAAGAAACCAGGATTTGATGCCTACTCTAAATTAGTTAAAGAAGCTGTTGCTGGTATTCCAGAACTTAAGGGAGTTAAAGTTATTAGTGCCAAGAAAGTAACTATTAGCAAAGATAAAAAGGCCACTGTCATCTTTATTCCATTGAGAATGATGAGAATTTGCAGAGCTTCATTCGAAAAAGTTATTGAAGCCCTCGAAAAGAAACTTAATGGACCAGTTTTCATTATTGGTAAGAGAGTTGTTGCTCACACTAAGAAAGTTGGACAATCAGGAAAAACTGACTACAAACCAAGATCAAGAACTTCAAAGGCTGTTCATGAAGCTTATTTGAATGAAATGTTATATCCAGTTGAAGTTGCTGGTCAAAGAGTTCATGCAACTTTAGTTCATAAGAAAGTTGCTAATTCTAAAACTGTCTTTGTTGCTGTTGATGATGCTAAATTAAAGAATTCAGTTAAAGCTAAACTTCCAATCTACTCAGCTGTTTACAAGAACATTACTGGTGAAAAGGTCAAATTTGCATTCCCAGTTGTCGCTTAAAGGAATGTAACCAAGTTTTTTGGATATATTTTATTCTTTTTGGTTTGTTTTCTTTTTTTTTATCAAGAGAATTATAAATTTATTATTAAATAAAATGAATAAAAAACCTTCTTTACATAAATTAAAATATGTTTGTTACCATCATTTCATTAATACACAACATATATCATTCTCTTTTATTATTTTGAATATAAAATTATTTTAAAACAAAATGATAATTCCAAAATATTCAATTTCACTTAGAATTTAAGGAGATGTGGATGGTCACCATTCTTAAGTGTGAAGTAAGAAGCCATATATTCTTTAAGATATGGAACTTTCTTAATTTCTGCAACAATACTTTCATCTACTTGTTTTTGTTTTTCGACAATTAATGCTTTCTTAGCTTCATATTGTTTCTTAGCAAAATCTTCTTCAACGGTTTTTCCAAATGCAGCTTTCTTAATAGCAATCTTTTTGAAGAATTTAACATCTACACCAGTAGTATCAACTTTAGAAACATCTACCTTTTGAGAAGTAGCAATAACATATCTTTGATTAATTCTCATTAATGGAACTCCGTTGATTTTGAATGGTCCAGTAACAATAAGAGCTCCTGATTTAATACATTGTTTTAAGAAAACAACTTTCTTTCCTGCATATTTACCAGCAACAATAATAAGAACAGCACCTGGTACAATGCTTTTTCTTAACTTTTCAAGGTTCCATGCTGGTTTATCAAGAGCTGTTATTTTAGCTCCTTTTCTTGTTCTTAATTTCTTCTTTTGTTCTTGAATCATATCATCAGTTGGGTAATAAGCTGGAATTTTAGCATCACCTGCTTTAACTGGAACAAACCATTGTGGAGCTGACATGTTGTTGTCCTTAAAGGGTTCTTTTATTCAGTTCTTAGAAATAGGGTAGTATTTCAAATAGTTTTTTTATTATATTTATAGTTTTTTTGTAAAAATAAAAAACATTAAATAAAAAATAAATGTTTTTATTATTTAGTTATAGTAAAATAAAGAAAAAAAATATGAAATTCAGTTGAGTCTTACCAATGAGTGTTGAATCAGAAAAAATTATTCTTGATGAAACTCAAATGAATAATGTCATTAACCTTCTACGAAGTGCAAAAGGATTAATGGAGATGACATCACTTGGAAATCTTATTAAAATCACTGGTTTGTTATTAATAATTTTCGTGATTTTCTTTATACTCATTTTATTTAGTCTTATTTGATGAAAAACAATACCTTATTCAGATGACTGAAAACGAAACAATTTCGGTTTATCGTTTGACTCATTAATTTAATACTTTATCATCTCATATAGATTATTGTTGTAAAATGAACCAACTAATCCATCAGAACAATTAATTAATCTCTTGGTACTATTAATTTACCTACAATCACTTGAGCAACTAATAACTCTCTCCATTTAGGCATATCCTTTTGTGTAAATTCTAATGGCACCCCTAAAGAAATGCAGTCAGCACATTTACAGGTAAAAGCACCACAGTCATATCCGTTACTTTGTTTTGGGTTATCATCGATATCAATAATATTATATGTTCCTAAATGACCAGTTTCATCAGCCAATCTTCTAACAAAAGCGGCTATTTTTAAACTGATATTTTGACAACTCCTTCCCCCAGACAAAGAGTCATAAACACTTATAGTGTGCTCGTCATTATCAATAACACAAAGTACCCAGTGAGTATTACTGATATTAACTGGAATAAGTACTTTTTCATATGAAAACAAATCATTATTTTTTACCCAACGTTTACTATTTTCATAGTCAATTCGATTACCTGATAAACTCCAATTTTTTGATAGTTTTGTAAAAAAGAATGAATTTAAAAATCCAATTCTTTTGTTTTGTAGTAGTTCAATAAATCCATTCACTACTTCATCTCCAAGCCATTCTGTTCTTAATGATTTTAATAATTCAGAAATACCAATCTGACTATTACACTTTCCTCTTTTTAATTCATCAATTGCATTACTAAATTCTTTAGGTAATGATGGCATAATTATATCGCGATGTGATAATTGATATCCAACTTGATATGGTTGTATTGGTTTATCATCTTCAAATCCAATGGCTGATGCTATTTCTTTGATTTGGTTAAAAGACTCAAAATATTCTTCTTCGACAAATTTTGATTGTTCATCTAATTGATGTTTTAATTCTAAAATTTGTTGAATATAACCATCATAAGGATTTGTCATTCAATTTTTTCTTTTTTTAGTTTCATTTTCATTTTTTTTTACTTAATTTTTTTGTTATTGGTTTTATTTATAATAAATTTTGTTATTTAACATTATCTGAATTTCTAAATTCAATAAATTTTGTTTTTTTTTTTTCACTTTTTCTTTGTTAATAAATTAAGTAGAAATTAACTAAAATGTAAGATGGTGCAATATTTTGTGGGTATAGGAAAGCAAAAATAATGAAAAATGAAAGATTGAAATACTCCACAATTTGTAAAGACAAGATAGCTACAGTAGAACACATTCTATTATCTTGTATTGGTCATAAAAAATCACAAATAGAGAAACATGACAATATTGGCATTATAATATTGATTAATAAGAAAATACACAGGAAATAAACAATATAAAAAACCACCATATGAAACAATATTCAAATATAAAGACATCACTATGATATGGAACAAACAAATCATGCCTAAAAGTGAATGACAATATCACAAAATACCATATATATATATATGTATTAGATAAAAAGAACAAAACTGATCTATTATTTGATATGACTATTGTTGAATATCACAATATTAATTGAGCCTATTTGAAGAAAAGAAATAAGTATAAGGAATTAAAGAATATTCTAATGAAAATAGAAAAATTAAAAGATGTCAGAATAATTCCAGTAGTAATTTCAATCAATGGATTAATGAATAAAGAAAGTAATAAATTAATTAAAGAAATAAAAATTGACATTGACATCGAGAAAGAAATTAAAAACCATATAATAAAAAACATGATGGATGTCATGGAATACTGCTTCAATCACAACAAACTAGAAACTTGATATAATTGATTGTTGATAATAATACTCTCTCTTCTGAATCAGTGATAATATAAATATTATCGATTGATATTTAATTAACTTCCTATTTTAAATTATTCTTGGCTAAAGAATTATTTCGCTTAATAAAATAATACAGAAATTAAATCCAAATAGCTTGTTGATTTATTCTTTTTTGTTTATTTATCTCATTACCACAGTTTTTCAATTGAACTTTTATTTTTCTTCATCAATTTAATTCATTTTATTGATTCTTATTGCATCATGAACTTTATATTTTTATAGTTTATTGAAATTAATCTTACCTTGTCTATTCATTAAAATAAACTAATAAACATCTGTTATTCACTTCCAATGTGAATATTCATATTTCAATTCATTTGAACTGTCTTTCAACACCACTAATATTCAACTTTAAAAACAATGAATTGAAAAAGAGTTTCAGTATGAATAAAACAAAATAACAATTGAAATGGTAAGGATATTGTATAACTTATAACAATTCAATAACTCATTGAAACGTGTTGCAAAAGAAAGGTGAAACAAATATTAGTTGTAGAATAAAAATATGATTAAGAAAAGGGTAAGTAAAAGTTTATCATTATCGTTATGTTCTTCTTTAATTTTTATTGAATCTAAATAACTATTAAACATTCCTTCTACAAATATATAACCATTTCAATGAACATAGACTTTTAAACCATAATAACCATTTAGAATCATTTATTGATTAGATATTAAATTAATCTTTTGTTTTTATCTGAAACTATTCAAAATTTATGATTGATGTAAACATTACTTTTG